TCGTTACTCTGACGCGGCTGACAACAACTGGGAGTTTTGATGTCCCGCGAAGACTGAGAGATTTCCCAGGGCAGAAACTGCTGCTGCTGCCTCCTCAACACCTGGACAATCCAAGGAAAACCAGGACAGGTGGCAACCCTAGCGGGAAGATGGGGGGGGGGGGGGGCGGGGTTGGGGAGGCTCGGGGTTACATGGTCATCGGTCATCACCACTGGGGGTTCCAACCACACTCAGGGCCCCCTTTTTCCCCATGAGCGTCGGGTTCCCCCCCACCCCTGCCGCCCCCACGACCCGAGGGAGACTGTGACCCAATTGCTGAGTCAGCACCGATGGAGGCCTCGGGCTCGTCTCGCTGTGCCAGCCAGCGTGGCCGCTCACTCGTGTGGCACGGAGAGCGGGGGGGGGGGGCGGCTGCTGAGAGACTTTTGGGTAACAACGTGGGGGCATCGAAAGTGGGCGCTCCTATCTCGTGCTACCACTGAAGACTCGGGCGAAAGTGATTGAGCCGTTCAATTGCTTTGTCCGAGAGTTGGTGAACTGTGGGTAGACCCACTCGCCCGCCCACTCATCCATACACCCACGCAACCAATCACCTACCCACAAACCCACCCACATGCCCACGCACCTGCCCACGCACCCACGCACGCACCCACCCACGCACCCACCCACCCACCCATCCACCCACGCACTCACCCATCCACTCACCTACCAACCCACCCGCCGCCTCCACGTGTACATTTGGGGCAGTGCAACTTTATGTGGTCCATGGTTTGGAGTTCGTAGTAGCAGTCGCACTCAGCAGAGAGAAAGTCGTTGACCATGGATTGACACCGACCACAATTTTACGAGATCCAATTGCACCGCTCCATCTCCACACACACATTCACACCGATGAGGAAAGTGTTGTTAGCGAGCGCCTATTAAGGCTGGCACGGAACATAAGAGAGGAAAGTGGGGTGCGCCACGCACGGCGCCACCTTTGTCTCCCCAGTGCTGATGTTTTCACATCGCACCGAGTGCTCACTGTAAGGGCCGAGCCGACCTAGCGGAGGCCCAGTATCCATTCGGGCATCACTCGCCACCGATCGTCAGCCGTGGTCCAGACAATCGAACCGAGGGCCGTAAGTAATCATAAACAACGAGCCTTTTGCCCGTCCAAGGACGGGTGTATTGCAGTAAATCTGAAACTTGCAAGCGAAAAGCAGACCGCGGCACGATATATATTCATTGCATCAATGCGCGTGCAGTTTGTACGGGCGCGGTGACAGACTTATTTCATGTGAAGGTGATAATCCCTTGTTCATCATGACGTCCTTTTTACTTTGATGTCTCAACAGCGTCACGGAGATCACGTGACGTGAGGGTTCTGCCTTTGTAGTGACGGTTGTAAGTTGACGCCGAGGAGGGGGGAGGAGGCGCCTCGGCCCCCCATGTGGAGTGACGTCACCCGCTAATTAGGATATTTTGCGCCCGGGGACGAACTATAAAATTGGCGCACCCCCCCCCCCCCCCCCCCGTTTAATCACATTTTCCTATTACATCGAATAAGGAACAACAATTTTAATTTTAATGAAACATTGTATTTAAAGAAGCAAATTTATAGAAATTATATTACATGGCTCACTCAGTCACTGTCGTAGACTGGTTTGACATAGTCTACAAAAGATTATTTTTTCTTGATTTCACTGTCGCAAACTGGTAATCAATCACGTCATCAAAATCTGTTTTTTCCAATGTTTCTCTTTCAACGCTAAGAAGAGCAAGATCGCTGAGGCGATCTTGTCCCATTGAAGCACGCAGATACGACAAAATAAGTTTCAATTTGCTGAACGACCGCTCACAGCTTGCAATTGAAACTGCTATTGTTAATAAAATTTGCAGTGAAATTCGGAAATATGTCGTCTCCATAAAACACAATAAAACCAAGAAGATCCAAAGGAGTTTCTGGTAGAACTTAATTCCGGTTACTGAGCAGCATTTTGCAATCTCTAATTTCTGTGAAAAGTTCGTGGCCATTGATGTCGGTGTCATAGAAATTTCCAAAATCTTTGCAATTTGGACGAATTGCATCGACATCTGTGTCGGATAGAAGAGTTTTGACGTCCAGCAGAAATCAAAATTTTGTGTTCAGGTCTTTTAGTCGTAAAAACCGTGTTGACATCTGTTGAAGTCGATAAAATACGCTCTTATTAACGTGTACAATTTCTTCTTCTGCTGAAAGTCCTGCATCTCCTGCCAGTTCTCCTGGCATCTTCCGACGTCGCCTAATTCTTCTGTCCACATCGATCCCCCAGGCTGTGCATCTTGTTTTGCCGTTTTCTACAGCAACTTGGCTCAAATCATCACGAAGCTTGACAAATTCATGCTCCAAAGATTCAAGATCAGTTGCTGCTTCCTTGAAATTCATAGTAGGATCCTATAAGCGCTTCTGAACACGATCAATTTTTCCAAGAATGACATTCCAGAAATGTAATAAAACTATGAAGTTAAAATTTAATACGCATGCCTGTAACTGTTCTGCATCACTTCTGGTTCCAGGCGTCATAGTTACGTCCTCCGATAATTTGTCTACTAGTTCATCCAGTCCTTCATAGATAGCTTTAACAGCTTCTGATCGTGCACTCCAGCGTGTTTCAGGCCGTCGTAGTTTCCGCCACCAAAAAACAGGCCAGTGACTAAGGCTGAAAGACTGCGCCTGTCTGTTGTTTGGGACGTTCTTCCATGTAAGTTCTTAATAGGCGCGCGTACCAAAATGTAATTACATGACATGTAGGCTGTGTGTGGCGGGATATATAAACTTTGAGGTTGAGGTGTAGATTTGTGCAGTAGTTTCAGGCTGCCGCGCCCGCCGCAATAAGTTATAATGTGACGTTGTAAGCCTCATTTTGGCGCCCCTTTACCTTGGCGCCCGGGGACACATGTACCCCCCTGCCCCCCCCCCCCCCCAGCTACGCCTCTGGTCCATTTGGAGGACGTCACCTGCTCATTATTATTAATGAGGGGGGCTGTTCGATGTGGAGTGGCGTCACGTGCTCATGATTATTAATGAGGGGGGAGGGTGCTCCATGTGGAGTGACGTCACCGGCTCATGATTATTAATGAGGGGGGGGTCCATGTGGAGGATGTAACCTGTTCATGATTATTAATGAGGGGGGCTGGTCGACGTGGAGTGACGTCACGAGCATTGCACACAGACATTCTTGGCTCATTATATTTTAGGTAATAATCATGGTGGGGGGGGGGGGGTGTCCATTTGGAGGATGTCACCTGCTCATGATTATTAATGAGGGGGGCCGTTCGATGTGGAGTGACGTCACGAGCATTAAGGACAGACATTCCTGGGTGCTGACAGTCGGTATAATTATCTAAACCAAAAAAAAAATCTACGAGTGAAACTCAAGTGATGTGACGTGTCCAGGCGAGGTGCACTTGGAGGCCACGTGTCCGCGCGTAGCTCACAAAAGCACGTGGGCGCACGCAGACACACGGACGCCTGCGTGCAGGCAAGGACACAACACAAAGATCCCCCTCCTATAGCCTTCAATAGACTGTTGGGACAAGTGTTGTTAGCAAGCACCTCTGCATGACGACACAGCAAACGAGGGGGTGGTGATGTTTTACACACCGCGCTGGGTGCTATTGAAGGCCGAGTCGACATAAGGGAGATCCAGGACCGGTTTCAATATTCGCCACTGTTATTGCTCACGAGTGGGTCACTGGGTTCGTAGCGCGGAGCGTTAACCACTGCCACATAAACCACGCGCACGCGTTCGCGCACACGCACGCACACACACGCGCACATGCTCGTGTAGTTTAATCTCAGCGGTATGTAGGTCATTTTCAGTTTTTTAGGTCGGCTGAAAGAAAATTTCTGAATGCTCTTTGCTTTGGGTGTCAACGCAAGTCAAGTATCAGGTTCCAAGTTGATTTCGTGTGACCAGGTGAGAATTCTAGCGAACAGGATAGAGTCTCGTTTGCAAGACGATAAAATTGTAAATGTATAAAATAATGAGAACAACAGTAATATACTGTACAGCAATGAAGCAAATATAAATCGGAACAAAAAAATAAAATCAGGACATATTTGACCATCTAATTGTAAAAACTAAAACTACTTTTATTTTGCCAGCTAAGGCCCACTGAGCTATGCAGCTCTTTTTCAGAAGCGACCTGGCCACAAATGATAGCTCAACGAAGTGGCTTATCACATGGAAATGTATCGCAAACCAATACTCTTAATTTATTGGGCTGATGCTTACCCGCAGAATAATCCATGCGAGCATGGGGATAGGGACACGCAAAGTCCAAATATACAGCAGGCGTCAGGGTCGGGATCGAACCCACGACCTCCTGTGGTCCAGGCGAGGTAGTCAACATCTCACCACCACGGTGCCCTATCGTGCCTCATTGGCACGGTCAACCCTCCTCGCTCAGGGCGCGACGCCGGCGCCACGACCCACCCGCCCGTCACGGCGCCACAGCACCCGTGTACCGGGACACGGCTGTGGGACACGGCTGTGGGACAAGGCTGTGGGACAAGGCTGTGGAACAAGGCTGTGGGACACGGCTGTGGGACACGGCTCGCCAACCACAGGTCGCGGCGCCACTGCATTCACCGCGATGGTAAATAGACAGAAATGGTTCGGGGAGGTTGGAATCGCGGTCCCAGATCGTGACGGTGAATCGGCGCGTCGCGACACGGGTACACGGCAGCATTCCGCCGCCAAGGACACCCACCGCTACGGTGGAGTTCGGGTGCCGCCCGACGTTCCGTTCCACCACCCCGCGGAATGGGCGGAGCTCAAGCCGACTGAACGAACCGCCGGCCAATGGCAGACTCGGAGGCGGGGCCGGAGGGATTTCACAACGACAACACGAACCGAGCCGGGCGCGGCAAAACCCTCCGGCAGATGGGCGGTCACGAGCCTCGCACCCAGAAGTGCACCGGCGCCCCCTCCCCCCCGGGTATGTCCACGAGTGCAGAGTTGCCGCGACCTCACCTTCCCGTCGTCGGGAGCCGGTGCCGTGACCGCGGTGTCCTCCGAGGCTCCGCTTGCCGGCGCCAGCTGCTGCTGCTGCTGCTGCTTACGGTTCCCGGGCTGCCACTCCGCCGGTTTGTCCGGTGCCTTGGGTTTGGCGACGGCCTTCGTCGGCGGCTGACTCTGGTTGAGCAGCGCCACGCCGCCACCGGTGACGACGGTGGCGGCCGGAGCGCCACGTCGAGCGACGGGCGACGGCTCCGCTCCGACGGGCGCCAGCGGCGGCTGCTGGGCACCGTCGGGCGACCCCGTGGGCGTGCGGGGGCAGCCCTCATCGCTGCGCTCCGAGTCGCTCGACCCCGCGCGCTTGAACCGCTTGGCGCAGGCGGCGCCGGGCGAGCCCTTCCGGCAGGGTGCGTCGCGCCGGATCTTCCCGCCGCCGCCTCCACCGCCACCGCCGCCGCCGCCGCCACCGCCGCCTCCGCCGCTTCCGCCGGAATCGGCAGAAGCGGCGCTGGAGGGCGGCGAGGGCGAGCAGACCGACGAGGAGGTGGACGCCGCGGCCGCGGCCGCCGCTGCGGCCGCGGTCACGGCGGACGAGGCCGAGGTGGACGACGCGGCGGAGGAGGCCGCGGTGGACGACGCGGCCGACGAGGTGGAGCTGGAGGAGTCGGAGGAGTCCGAGTGGACGCTGTCGCTCTCCCCGTCGCCGTGACGACGGCCCTTGCGGGCCCGGACCCTCGGCAGGCCGTCTGCTTCCGGGTCAAGCCGTGACTTCAGCGTGGAGTTGTCCACCATTTTACCACGAGGATCTGGGGGCAACGGGGGAGGGGGCGAGGGGCGTTGGCCACCACCGCTCGCGCGGCCGGCGCGACGGACGGCGCTGCTGCGCACCACTGGCGCGCGTCGCGCTGCTTCCCACTTCATAGGAACCTGCGGGTCGCTGGCGAGGTACGACCGTGGTGCTGTCACGCAGCAACGGCCCCGGTGTTTTGTCGGGGGATCTTTGAATGTCCACTGCACGTGAAGCGGACGGTGCGTCGTGTTTCACGGGGAGTGCGCACGGCAGGATTAACCAGGGGCGACCGCCGGGCTCAAACAGCATCCCTCCGCAACAAGCATCACTCACCCCGACACTCACCCTGACACCCCAACACCCCACTCACCCCGACACCCCGACACCCTAATACTCACCAACACTCACCCCAACACTCACCCCGACACCCCAACACTCACCCGACACCCTAATACTCACCCCGACACTCACCCCGACACCCCAACACCCCACTCACCCCGACACCCCGACACCCTAATACTCACCAACACTCACCCCAACACTCACCCCGACACCCCAACACTCACTCGACACCCTAATACTCACCGCGACACTCACCCCGACACCCCAACACCCCACTCACCCCGACACCCCAACACTCACCCGACACCCCAATACTCACCCCGACACTCACCCCGACACTCACCCCGACACTCACCCCAACACTCACCCCGACTCAGCACTCACCCAGCCGCCCCACCGCACCAACACTGCGATACCTCTAGACCTCCGTAGAGCACGCTAGATCCATTATTGCCTTTGCTAGAAACAAAATCAATTCTTACCGAATCGATAACTGCACTCTCCCTTCTCCCGCTCCTCCTCCCCTCTTCTCCTTCACTCCCGCCTGCCCCCCTCCACCTCTTCCTCCTCCACCTCTTCATGTCTCCTCCTCCTGTATTTAATCTTCTCTCATCACCCTTCTCGTCCTCCTCAATTTCTTCCCTCTCCTCCCCAACTCCTTCAGTCCTCCACCTCCTCGCACCTCCTCAACCTGCCGTGTTTAAAGGGGGCCCCCTGAGGAATTGGCCACGAAAAAAAAACGAGCGCGCAAAACAACGGACGCTGCAGGGCTCACATTAATTGCGAGTCAAGCTCGCACATTTTGGAGGAAAATTACGGCAACAAAAAACGCAATGTAATTAACGGCCCTTCAGCGGAGTAAAAAATAAAAACCCCACGATGTCGAAATTGAAAGAAAGCCACTGTCTGAGAGTTCAGGCCACGTAAGGCACGAGGCCTCGGACCGGGCCGCGTTATTCAGATCTTTTTTTTTTACTAAAAGAATTAGACAATTAATAATGATAGAATGTTAAATACACAATTCGTAACAGGGGCAGAGACCGCTCGCTCTTGGGAACAGGGAGAGAGACAACGGCAAGTGGGAAGGCAGCCAGAACCGGCGCTATCGACAATTGCCCAAGCTCTGCAGTCCTATACTTTTGTAATGTTTGGCCACCTCCACTGACGAGGAAAACGGAGTACCAGGAGAAAAATCAAGCATGTGTGATGGGGGGTTAAAACTTAATACTCCGTGCGGATGTAATACAGATGGAATATTAGCCCAATTGCTGTACTGCCATTGTACCATTGTACCCTGGCAAGCCAGGCGGTGTAGGGAGGAAGTTTCCCACGTGTGTGTGTGTGGTCCACCAACGCTCACTGTCCCCACAGCACTGGGGGGCAGGGGGGGGGTACAGGTCACGTGCAGTGGTAGCCACCGCCGTTTTTTTGTATTAAAAAAGGATGCGAATATGAAACGTAAACATTGTCCCGGCGACCGTTTCGGCCACGATATTATTTTTTTGCTGCGACCCAAGGCTCCACGGAGCGCGTGATGGTCGGTCGGCTCAGAGCCGTGGTTTTGTTGTGCTCGGAGAGGGGGGCCACCCCCCCACCTCTCCCTAACGGTCGGCCGCATGCGATTAAATGTTTTCAAAGTGAGAGGTGAAACCGATGGGGCCCACCTCACAGAAGAGGAGCGGGAGGACCGTGACAAGTCGCACAACGACGACGACAACGAAAGGAATTCGTACATCGCCGCCTAAAACCGCCCACGGTTTCCACCACCCGCGTTGGCGCTAACGGATCTCGCCGATTGAACCCGAACACGTTCCGGCCGAACCGTGTCCCGGAGAGCCGCCTAAGCGAGGCGGTTCAGGCTGGAGGCACGGATCCTGTGCGGGAGGGACATTGTGAACGCGCTCGGGGAAACGTCGGGCGCCACCGTTGTGGCCTTACGAACGCAAAACGCACAACAGCAAAACGAATGATTTCCATTGAAAGCTTTCGTGACTGCAGGGATTCATCTTCTTGGTTCTTTCGGTAAAGTCACGTAGAAGGGAAATAATAAAATAATAAGAATAAAACATAATAAAATAATTTTCACGACGTTTCGGCCACAACGCAAGCAGCCGTCCTCAGGTGAAGAACAGGTCTGTCAGAAAGACAGCGTCTGAATGACGCTATCTTTCCGACAGATCTGTTCTTCAGACAGCCTTCCTTCTGCTTTGCTAATGCCGCGTCGACTGCAGGCGTGGACACGTGATCTCCACGGTGGTGTGGCCTTAGTCACCTGGGGGCGTGGTGGGGGGGTGCACGTGGTTGTGATGGGGGGGGGGAGCCGCCATAGCAAAACGGTGGAGAACCACTGACCAACCACCTCTTCCAGGTCTTGTGACGTACCGACCGAGCAGGGTGATCACAACGGGAGGAGCTGCGCTGGGCCTCTCAAGACTGCTGTCGTCTGCCAGCGGGGAGCCGTGTCGCTGTGCGTTGTCCCCGCTTGGGTCATTTTCGGCGTTTTTTTTGCCAAAATTTGGAGCCTTACGCCGGCACACAGCGGCCTAGTCTTGCGAACGATGTCACGGAGATTCTTTAACGTCCGCCGCGAGCCAAGTAGACAGCTCCGTCTGTCGTAGGAGTCGTCGTATTATCGTGACTATTACACAGACCACAGTGTTAACCAGGGCGGCCTCTGGAATCGAACCGCGAACCCCTGCAACGATGTGCTCGTGCGACGGGCGGCGCCTATTCGTATTCGCGTGGTCACTTCTCACCGGTTGACATTAACCGGGGCGGCTTGCTGGAACGTCAGCGGCGAACCGTTGGCAACGAGCGGCGAACGCGCCGGATTGCCGCATCACCGCCCCCAACCCCCAGAATCCGGACGGCAGCCGGCCACAGACTCCGGGAGGCCGGGGCCAAACCTTCCCCGACGAAGACGCTGCCTTAAAACGTTCGCGTGATTATTATGAGATCTTCATAAAAATAAAACACACACACACACAATCATCGCAGCTGTGTCACATTTATCCCAAACACAATTAATGCCGGTCACCTCCCCGCACGCGCGCATTCATCTTCATACCACCGGCCCCCGCGTGCTCTAATTTTAATGCAAAAATCTATTTTTCATTTGCGCAAGAACGGCCGTGAATATTGAGAGGCGATCGCGGGCGGAGAGCGCGTGAGCGCGCGCACCCAACGCGCCACTTGAACGCGATGCCACGTCTGCAATAAAATCCCGTTGATTCAAAAAAAATTATGTATTTTTTTAAAAATTGTTATTTTTTTTCTTTAAAAAAATAAAAAAAATCCAATTCTATCCCCTGCTGGCGTCACGCCACGCGACGACGGAAACCGCGGGGGGCGGGGGGGCATCGCCCTGCCCGAGTAGAACGTCACGCGAAAGGAGATGTCAAAGAGCTACTTTTGAGACCGCTGGCAAGTAACCGCCGGTGGACCGCACACGGTCGGTCGGAACGGCGACACTTTCCCACCGAACCCTGCGACAGGGTCACGTCATGCACGTTGGACTTCTTTCGCGCCGTGTGTAGCCGGCCGTGCAGCGTACGCAGCCCACCGTATGAATCGGAGACACCGTCACGCGGTCTCTGTTGCTCGGATTTCTATTTACTTCATTGCCGTACTGATTTTTTTTTGTCGACCTAGGTTATTCTTGCAAATGAGATTATAATGGTCTCCCCCCTTGAGCTTTTGCCTGGTTCAACAAAATAAACTTGAGCACTCAGATACATTTTTGTGGCATGACAGTCGAAATTATATTTAATGTTTTCATTTGAAGGGCTGAAACTTTGCTACAGTTAAGTGTTTGGGCTTCGCTTTTTGTGCTTGCACGTGGGGGTATTAGAAGGCTGAAGAGAAGGATCGCAGATCAAGAAAGAGGGCGCTGACTTAGGAGGAGCAAGATGAAACGGGATGGGGGGGGGGGGCGAGATGTCGTAAGTTAGGGATGAGACATCAAAGAGGGGAGAGATGGGAGGCGAAGGATGAAGGAGTTCTGGGAAGAGCGGCAGAATGCTGATGAGCGGCAAGATGTGGTCGCCGCATTAAGTCCACAAATGACCATAAATCAAGTAAGAAAGCCGACAAGATGCCTCCCTTCTCACATTTGTCTCCCCGCATTCAAAACAAACTCGTTTTTTTAACACATCCCATCAGCCACATGGCCTAACTTCTGGAATTAAAACATCTTTTTTTAGCAGCATTGGTTTAACACAAGCAAACTCTGGACAGGGTTTTGGCATTCAGTGCCTCATCAGCAGAGTCAGAATGGCTTGAGCTAATTAACGGAACGTTCGTACTCAAATTTCAAAATGCTGTTGATTCTCTCTTCAACACACCGGTGGGCTAAAGAAGCGAATTATTTTGTCCTTTGAAAAACGTGACATTTGTTTACTGTTTGGCCGTGTCGTGTGGTGGAAGGTTACGACGACACATTTACAAATAACGCGATCTGACCCAAAAACCTATATTATGACTAATATTGGTCGCGAAAGCCTACGTGTTAAAACGGAAAAATATAAACGCCGCCCCTATTGTGTCAAGAAATCACGCGCGGTTTAAACGCCGCGATGCGATTACGAGGGCTGTCTCGCCTCGTGCATCTCGTTTTTTTACAGAAGGGCGACGGGCAGCAGGAGGAGGAGGAGAGTCTCTACACACGCAGCGACACCTTCCACACCACGTGCAGCGCACAAGAGTCACGACCCCCGCTCGGGGTGGACTCCCCACTTCCCATCTTTATTGACGGCCCGAAACCGCCGGTGGAAATTCCACATTCCCATGGCAGGGGGGCCATTGTCTCTGTGTTATGATCGCTGCGGTTGCTTTTCAGTTTTCCCCCTAAAATATGATCCCCAGATTGTGCTGTTGGCATCATCTCATGAAGACGGAGAGTCCGAACGGCACCCGGAAGCGAACATCAGAAAGCTTCCGTTGAGGTCCCTCATTTAAGGGACACTCTGTCCTGCACACAGTATGGGGGGCAGCCGCTCCCCCCACCCACTCTGCTACCGAGCGTAATGTCCATGCGGTGACAAGTCAAACCGATAAGTTAATCCTGCAAGCTGAAATTAAGTGCAGAGCCAAACGTAACGTGACGATTGTATTGCGTGCGGTTATTCGGTGGCTGGGCACTCTTGAGAACGCGCTTCAATCACCTGGATTTGAACCCAGGTATTTCAATCACCTGGATTTGAACCCAGGTATTTCAATCACCTGGATTTGAACCCAGGTATTTCGGCGGTGCTGGCTCTGCGCTCCGAGCCAAACGGTGGCACATGAGCGCTTGACCCACTGCGCTACCGCTCCACCCCAAAAAAAATGATGACTTTTTTTTTTACCCAAAAGCAAACCATAGATCACATCTCCTGAGATGCCCTGCAGCACCACAATGCACTCCTCAAAATTTGGCAAATGCCAAGACCAGAAGCGGTGGCCTGTGCACAATATTGAGAAAAGACTGTACATGTTGGACAGGAGACATGACGAAGACGAACACCCAGCTGATGATGATTATTAAAAATCGCAATAATCCTGCTGCTGCTGATTCTATTGACAATGGCTCTGCTGCTGCTGTTAATAAGCACGCAGTTAATGCTGATCATGATGACAATTATGACGATACTACTATTGTAAATACGAAGACAAAAGAAACCCCTATAGCATTCACAACATTTTGGGGCAAGTGCCGTTGGCGAGTAGCTATGACGGCCGGCGGCACACGATG